CATCGCCGCCCTTCTACCCTTGGCCACCTCCCCGGGTAGATCCACCGCGACTCGACACCCCTCGTCCGCGGCACCTCCTACCAACGCCGCAGCTCATCCGACAAACGTCCTCTGACAAACCCGTCCCTGCCACCTCTCGCCTCCCTGTCGCGCGCCCCTCCCACCTCGGCTACGCCACGCACCCGCTCCGGACCCTGCATCGAAGTGGAGGATTGTCGAAGCTGGCGTAACTGGACATGGGAACACCGGCGGAGGGACCGCCTCCGATGGACCATCAGGGCGCCCAGTCACAGTACAACTACGACCCGCGCAACAATGGCCTCTCCAGACGCGCCACCGACGAGGCCGCATCCTCGTCAACCAGTCTTGCGCCCTACGACCGCACCAACTACCCCCCGCGATCGTCGACCGACCCGGGGGACCAGAACCAGCCCGTCGCCAAACCCAAGCGAAGCGGGAAGATATGTGGAAAGTGTGGGGAAGGCCTGACTGGTCAATTTGTGCGAGCCTTGGGCGACACCTACCATTTGGAATGCTTTACTTGTCACGTAAGACACCCATGTTGTTTTCTGGATTGGAGGAGTTGGGCGTTCGCACGTCCGTTGCTCTTCAGCGACAGGATCGCGCGCATCGCTGTTCTGGATGGACTGCTCCAATTGTCTCGAGCGCCATAATTCTCTACATAGCATGTCTGATCACAGTGCTGACCTGCCTTCTAGGACTGCGGTAAAATCGTTGCCTCCAAGTTTTTCCCCGTACCCGACAAGCCACCCGGCCAGTACCCCCTCTGCGAAACCGACTATTTCCGACGTCTCGATCTGCTCTGCTTCGAGTGCGGGCAAGCCTTGCGCGGCTCCTACATCACAGCGCTAGACCGGAAATACCACATTGAGCACTTTACCTGTTCCGTGTGTCCTACCGTTTTCGGCGCCTCGGACAGCTACTACGAGCACGAGGGCAGCGTCTACTGTCACTACCACTACTCCACCAAATTCGCCCAGCGGTGTAACGGCTGTCAGACATCGATTTTGAAGCAGTTCGTCGAGATCTTCCGAAATGGACAGAATCAGCATTGGCATCCGGAATGCTACATGATCCACAAGTACTGGAATGTCAGGCTTCATTCGACAGGCCAACCTGTCATCGAGCGATTACAGGATGCTGATGGCGACGCGACAGATGAGGTGCGCGAGAGCGTCCGCCAACAGGAGGAAGAGATCGAAGCCAAGGTCAACTGGATCTGGAAGACCTTATCGGCTTTCGAGGAAAAGTCCGCGACCTGCATCTCCGACATGCTCCTGCACGTCAGTAATGGGGCTTACGTCGACGGTGTCATGGCAGCGAAAAAGTTCATTGTGCACGTCGAACTGCTTTTCGCGGCCGCCGACGCGCTCGATGCGCAATTGATCGTCAGGACACCCAAGGGATTGACCTACTCGCGCGAATCAAAGCTACTTTGTAAGAAAGTGGTAGCCTTCTTCGCGCTTCTTACCCAGTCCCAGGGTACTGGCGTGCGACGACTGGGCGTGACCCAAGAATTGCTGTCCCTGGTTACTGGCTTAGCCCACTACCTGAAGCTCCTCATTCGCATATGTCTGCAGGGTTCTCTAAAATTAGAGCGCGAGACCCGGAGCTCCACCGGTTTGACCAACTTCCTTACCCAAGTAAACTCACTCGATGCGCGGTTGGAGGACGAGGCCCAAAGAGACCAGGCGGCTGAGTCCGCGCGGCTTGTCCCAAGATGGGCCGACGCATGTCCAATATGCGATGCCCAGGTCGAAGATAAGTGTTTACACCTGAACAACATGTCGTACAATTACAGCTGCATGGTCTGCCGGGGGTGCAATGCCGACTTGCGCCATAGCCCTCAGAGCGCTTATTGGAGTAAATCGAAGCGAAGTATCTTCTGTCCGGCATGTGCAGCAGCGCAGCCAGACGCTGAGAACGGTTTCGAGCAGGTCACCAAGCTGCGCCAATATGTGCACCTACTAAACGTGGCGCATGCGCGTCTCATGGCGACCCTACGATCCAGTGGCGCATTGCCACACACTTCAGGTAAGAATAACTCTCCGTAACAGATCACCTCGTCACCACTCATCTTGACACTCCGACTCAGATTTCTGGAGCCGCTTCCGAGATTACATTCGTCCCACTAATGACTTGTAGATGATCCCAACCTGGCAGGCTATGATTCCACACAGGGACATCGCCTTGGGGATGACCCGCCGCATTTGCGACCAGACACGCGGTCAAAGTCGTATGGAGGGACATCAGCAACAGACAGTCAAAACAGCAACAACGCCGCCTACGAGCAATCCATGTCTGATATCAAGCGTTTACGATCGACACGACTTGACAAGCACCTATCCAACACGATGAAACGTGCGCGCGCATCACGAATCATTGATGGTCCAGAGGGTCTCGAAGGAGAAGGACAAATGCGAGGAGGAATGCAGATCGTTCAGGAACGCGAGCTAGGGGGCGACGCCGACGCTGTAACACTCGCTGTGAACTCTCTCGCTTTAGACGACATTGCTCGCATGGCTGCGTTGGAGCAGCAACGAGAGCAACGTCCAAATGCATTCCGCGCTGGTGGAAGCGCACTACTGGGACGAGAAGATCAACCGAAGCTGCAGAATGGCCATCGTCGCGACTTCTCTGGCGCCCAGGATCTACAACAGATGACCGAGGGTCGTTCACGAACCTACTTTTCGGAGCTGTCGCCACTTGAATACTTCAAACTGAAGGGCCTTGCAGTACTCCAGCTTGGCCTCTTGCTCGACGACAATCAGTACAACCAGGGCGATCTGCTCGATCTCATCGAGTCGAAGAAAAACAACTTCTGGGGCAAGATCGGGTTCGGCAAAGCGTTCAAGGCCGACAAAAGCAAGCCGAAGAAGGGCGTTACAGGAGTCGAGAAGCCAGTTTCCGACAAAGCAACTTTCCGACAGTCGCTTGAGTACCTCGTGGAAAAGTATGGTGATGAGTGCACGGAAGGTGTTGGACCGGGCGCGCTCAAAGTTCCAGCTCTGCTTCAGGATTGTATCACCGCGATGAGAAGTATGGACATGTCCATCGAGGGTGTGTTCAGGAAGAACGGCAACCTCAAAGCTCTACGCGAACTTGAGGAAGAGATTGACGCCCATGGTGTTCAGAAGGTCGACCTGAATACTAAGAACCCGGTCATACTCGCCAATCTCCTAAAGCGCTTCCTCAGGTTGATGCCTGAGCCGGTATTGACATTGAAGCTATATAGGCTGTTCATGGTGGCTAATGGTAAGTCGCTTTATTCTACCCGTCGTGCTTGACTAACAGCAACAGATATTGAGGATGAGGCACAAAGAAAGAAAGTCTTGCATCTCGTGCTTTGCCTGCTGCCCAAGGCCCACCGCGACACAATGGAAGTCCTGTTCTGCTTCCTCAACTGGGTTTCATCGTTCCACACGGTGGACGAAGAAACAGGCAACAAGATGGACACCTGGAATATCGCCACCGTTATGGCTCCCAACATTCTGCGAGAGAGCAACGACAAAGAAGTCAAGAGCGTGGATCAAGGCGCGGTCAAGGTCGTGTTTGATCTCATCGAAAACAACGATGAGTTCTCGGAGGTATGTTGCTCCGCCATACTACCAATCCACTTTCATACTAACGTCAACAGGTACCTCCCGAGATCATGGAACTACTCAGCGATGAAGTGTCGGACATGAGCGCGAAGGAAATCATGCGCCAATGGGAGCAGCGGGGGAAGAACCCTCTGTCAGCTCCTACGCCATCACCCAGAGACCAAACCGGCACAGCTTCCAGGAAAGACCAGCGCAATTCGCCTCAAGTTACGACAGCGGACAACAACCCCTCGGCTCAAGCTGGCGAAGCGTCCGTTCGCCAGATCCCCGGCGGGGGTGCTCAACCTATGGGCAGCAATCAGCACAGCCCCACACCAGGGTACGACCGAAATACACCCAACCCTGCATTCGCCCAGAATCCCCAAGCTTCTTCCGACGGCCACCGCACTGCATCACCTCATCGGCACAGCTACCGCTCGCCCGGCTTCCAAAAACATACACAGATTGGCACCGCGGGCGCTGGATGAGACACGACGACTCTCTTTTTGGAACCCTACCCGGAGTACAAGGCGTTGATTGCATGCGACCATCTATGCATGGCTTGAGCGAAAAGCATTCAATGAGCGGCGAATTCTATTCTATACCCCTGGCCAGAGTCTACGTTATGACATCTAGACTGGCCCAGTCCATCTTCTCACGCATCGGCTTGGCATAAGTTTGACGAAACCTGTTTGATTGCATTGTAGGGCATCCTGCGCTTTGCGCGATGCGTCACTGGAAGGAACAACATTTTTTTGCTGCAGCATTGGTATGGGCGTTTTCTGGGTAATCACATTTGTGCCATATACGATCTTGGCATTGTTTACTGGTGGGCGCGAATATGCGCGTGCGAGTGCGGAGTGCTTTGTAGAGGTGGTGTTTGAGAGTGTGAAGAGTACTACGGATTTGGGGGATGGGTGGACTTGCATGGCCGAGCTGCGTGGAAGCTGCATAGGCTGCTGCAGTAGAAGTCGAGCCGAAGGTGGAGATAATGTACGAAGTCGCGCGATGTAGTCTTCAGAGACTTACGTTGCCTACTGTTGGTAGATGGCTTTAGAATCCGGTGTAGGTATCTGATCATTCTCCCACTCTCTACGTTGTCTTTTTTCTCGTTGTTTACGGTGCGAGGGACGCGGCTTCCTCATCACCTTCACTAGCTTGGCGGTCCCCACTTGTTGACAACCACCTTTGCAAGACTCATCTCACCTGCAGCGAAACCTCACTTCACCGAAAGATCTCTCCTTTCACTTCACTTTCCTCGCTCTGACATGGCATTCATCGCTCACTGCTAGAGAACATCACTTCGCAGCTGCGTCTGTCTTCCAGAAACCTTCATACCGCAGCTACGGCTACCTGCATCAGCCGTAGCATCTACTCGCATCACGCGCTATCCGCACGATGGATCCCGAGACTACTCGGATCGTGTTGAAGCTTCAACTGGACGACGTACACGCCATCCTGAAGGCTTTGCCCAACACTAGCAACGATGGTGCCGTCAACAGCGAGCGAGTCGCTTTCGCCGCGCTCCGCGATGAGCTTACGAGGAAATGGCAAGAGGTACACGGTCGTGTCTTCGCGCACAACATGATCAGGAAAGAGAATGCTGGCCGAGAGTCGTTTCGGAAGCTCTTGAATGAGGAGCAGCAAGCTGAACGTGAGTGCAAGCACCTTACCCATCGTACTCGGATCAAGACTGACATAGTCAAGGTGACCATGATATGGCTTGCACACTTGCTGGCCAGCCGGTACCTCAGCGTCCGGTGGTGTCAGTCGACAACGGCGTGCACAACAATGCAGCAGCACAGAGGCAGGAACCCATCGACCACCGAACGCTTGCCAGCAACAACCTCCGGTTCGATCTCAGCGGTACTCAAATCGCTCCCTCCAGAGTCGAGCTTCTCCACAATAAGAAGCGTCCTGCTGAGGACGATGCGAGGCCAACTTCAGCATCCAGCAACTTCAAGCGTGCGCGTGTTGACGATGTGGATGACGAGGACAGAAACTCTATCACGCCGTACACGCACAACTCTACACTCAAGAAGCGGACTGCTCGCGTTGATCCAGCAACGCTCAGGGAGGAAGATGACGGACGAACCAAGCGTACCAAGCTGGACCCTCAGGTCGACGCTGCTCCAGTTGCAGATGCCACGCATGTGCCATCGTCTGAGACGGTCTGTAAGCAAGATCATGCCCCGACTGGAGCTGAACCTAATCTTGTGGTGTCTCGGACATGCTCTTCATGCTTCGACATGCACCCCATCCGAGACACGATCCAACTTTCATGCAAAGGTCCCAGCGATGCTGAGGCTCATGCATATTGCCGCGACTGCGTCATGGGCCTTTTTGAAGCTTGTATCACAGATTCCTCGCAATTTCCACCGCGATGTTGTAATCAGGTCCTACCGGTCTTTGCCTGTATCCCTTTTCTACCGCCCGCGCTCTTCGCTCGATATGTGGCCAAACGAGAAGAACTGGAGACGCCAAACCGAACGTATTGCAGCAACTTCATGTGCGCCAAATGGGTCAGACCCTGCAACATCGCAGCAGGCATAGCCGCCTGCATGAAGTGTACCCAGAAGACGTGTGTCACATGCAAGAAGAAGCAGCATACTGGTCTCTGTCTTGAGGACCAAGACGTCAAGAAGCTCATGGAAGTTGCAAAAGCCAAGCGCTGGAAGACTTGCCCAAAGTGCAAAGAGATGATAGAGCTCGAGGCTGGCTGTTACCATATCAAGTACGTATACCCCCCACACGGTCACTACATTCAACTGACTTCGAAGGTGCCGCTGCCAACATCAGTTCTGCTACCTTTGTCTTAAGAAGTGGCGTACATGTAAATGCCCGACTTGGGACGAGCGGAATATCACTCCTGAACCGATACCCGCCAACAACGCCGCTCCAAATGTCGTCAACCCTGCCAACGCTGCACGGCCCATCGCAGGACTCTTTGCTGCACCAGTACCCGCCGTCAATGCTGCTCAAAGAATTGCGAACATTCTCAACGAAGAGGCGCTTCTTCCGTTCGCAAACCCACCTGCACCTAATGCCGCTCCACAACCGAACGTGCAGGCCGATCTACCTCGAGCCCAACCACGGCGTAACCGGAGAAGGAACAGACAGAATCACGTTCATGTGTTCGACCGATACTACGTGAGTCAGGGTGAGAATACCGAGTGTGATCACTGCGGATTCCAGGACCGCTGGGTCAATGGTTGTCAAGGGTGTGACTTGCGGATATGTCGGCTATGCACGAAGCACGACCTCTGAAAGGAGCCAACGTGAGAACTACACGGCCTGTGTGCGACTATATGTCAAGAATGAGAAGCTCGCTATATATGGTCATATCCACTACACACTCTTCACCGATGAGCTATGTACCGGATCGCGAGCGACAGGAAAGGAAGCTATACGGGCATGTCTTAGTAGCTTCATGAGATCAGCATGTGCATAGTCAGAGATAGTATAGTATAATTTTCTGCATTAACTCATACACTTCAACCACTCTACTTCTTCACAGCAACAACAAACAACCTAGGGTATCCCAAAAGCACCTTCCCATCCACCAACTCCGGATACTCACCCCTCAGCCCCCTCTCATACTCCTCCAAAAACGCCTTCTTCGCCTCCTCCCCCTCAATCCTATTCAAATAAGGCTGCAACCCCGTTCCCTTGACCCACTCCACAATCGCGCCCGCATCCTTGAGCACATGCATATACTTAGTCCTCCACACATTAACCAAACTCGCCTGTCCCACCAACGCATTATAAAACGCACTCGGCTCCTCAATAGGATCCAAATCCGGCCTTGACGTATCCTTCAAATCGCCAATCTGCGTATCCGCGAAGGAGTCCGACCAAGGCTTTCCAGATTGGAGGGCTGTCTCACGCATCATCCGGTGCGACGGCTCGTGGTAGTTATCCGGGACCTGGATCGCTATTACGCTCCCGCTTTTCAGCGAGGAGAAGAGGCGCGCGAGCGTGGGAATGCGTTCGGAAGACCGGAGCCAGTGGAATACCGCGTTGCTGAACAATACATCTACGTCTCCATCTGCTTTGAACGTCGCTAGATCCCCTCGTGTGAAATCTACACTGTCCTTTCCGTCAAACTCCGCATTGGCCTTTTTCAACATGTCGGGGCTGCTGTCCATGCCTGTGATGCGCGCAGAGGGAAACGCATCGAGGAGGACTTTTGTACTATTTCCGGGTCCGCAGCCGAGGTCGTAGATACGCGGGTTGGGTTTGTTGGTGATGTTGGGTTGGATTTGAGAGACGAGGTCGTAGACGGCGCGGAGGCGCTCGTTGTTGAATTTGAGGTATTGGGTTGCGGACCAGTCTTTTTTTGGTGGGGGTTCTGTTGACATTTTGGATGATGAGGTGCTGAAGGGCTGGTGTTGTTGGTGATGGTTGTAGAGTCTGGGTTGGAATGCTTTTTGGATTTGAGGGTACGTGAGCGTGTGCCGTTGGTTAAATGGACACGATGTTGTGACGATGGTTGATAGACTGCGGATATGTATCCGCGGGTGAAGTGCGGCTAGGCGGGCCGATTGAAGGGTTCGCGAACTGCGGAGGAGTGGGGAGGACATCTGCGCAGAGTCTTCGCATCAACTGGGGAAACGGCTAACGATGCTTGAGTAATGCTTGTGGTGATTAAGTATGTACAAGGCGTGACAAGCTCTTCGGAAAAGCGCCGTGCTGAGGTCTGGAAGCTCAGCTCGGCGAATCAGATTGCATGGGTGGGGTGAGAGGCTAGCGGATGGGGTTAAGATCGGCGTATGTCCGGGGTGACGCATCACCGAAGAGGTCTACAGCTTGCTCTCTGTTGCCGGAAAAGACATTTTTGCGACTTCGTGAAGCACGTTATTGCTGGGATCGAATTTCCAGTCAATTAATCATAGGCAAAGGCTGAATGGTGGACCCGGTATGTCTTGCTACCATACTTTACTTTCTACGTGGAAGGACATAAGGAAAGCTACTAACGCTCAAAGGGCAGTTGCTGAGTGCGCAAAGACCCTAGAATCTTGGAGGCATCATTCCCGGGGGACCCATCTTGTCACCACCATGTTTACCTGCCGTGATCTCGGGATAAGCCGTGCTTCCATCGTCGTATTCGATCGGTTCTTCGTCGTTGTGTGGCACGCGCGCGCTGGTGCTGAATACCTTGACTGAGAGTGTCTTTTGGTCTGGGAACTTTACACGTTCACCATTTTGCTAGAAGCATAAGTCAGTTTTGATATCAGTCATGACATGGGGTGGACTCACATCATAGACATTCCAGGTCAACTTCTCGGTCAAGAAAGGCACCACGTTGCTGGGCTCCAGGCTCTTCAAGCTCTTATTCTCGATTTGCTCGATGAGATAAGGTGTGATACTTGTTGTACCGTTCATCAACTTCTCCGGTATTGAGGGGTCTTTCTCGGTGTGCACGTCGTCGAGTCGCTCTGGCATCAGCATCATCCAGCTTCCCACGTCGACAACTGGATCGGAGTTGAACATGCCGCCGAGCGAGTACTTGACGATGAACGATGGTGGAAGCCTGGAAGCGATCGCTTGTGTCTCGATAGTCCAATCCGTGTATGTGCCATTGTTGCCCTCGAGTGTTTCTCCGAATGGCGTTGGCTTGGTACTCATGACTGTAACTTTGCTCTGTGCGCGGGCGCGTCCACTGTACATCCTTGCAATGCTCGCTGTGACATCTGCCTGATAGGCTTGGTCTGATGCGAACTTCCAACGCCGTGTTTCCGGGTAGGCGTATCCTAGGACGGTGGTGTTGCGACAGTCGTTGAAGGTCAGGAATTTGCCAGGGTCCTTTTTGAATGGGAGGAGTTCTGTGTTTGCGTCAACATCTTGGTAGTCGTCAAGATAGACGTTGCCGTGCGGTCCTATGCTTGACTTCTCCATCCAAAGATCGGGGTGCGCTCCTTGATATAATGCGAGTAGGCGGTCGACGTTGCTGAAGGCGTGTTAGCTCATGTAATTCGAGGGATTGAGCGCACTTACGCATGATGTAACATGAAGAGAGGTTCGTATGACGAATACTCCAGCGGCCACATATGACCGGGGGTAGACGTGGTGGGATCGTAGCCACCGCCGATAACGCCGTGTATCCAACCATGCGGGTCTTCTAGTATACTAGAGAATCGCGAGAAGGTGCTCGCGCGGAAAGCAACACCAACCTGAGATATCAAATTGGTGGACTGGGCATTGAAGGCACTGACAAACATCGATTGTCGCGATGTCGCATTGGCGGTCGCGTCACTCGGCCATCGTATCGTAGAACTCATGGAAGCCCACTACACGAAGAGTTAGAAAGCGTGTACCAAGATCTTCCAAGATTGAGATCGCTTACCTTTTGATCAAAGCCCGCAGGTATGGGATTGAACTTGTAGGAATACAGCGGATTTGACACCACTGTTAGACTGCCGTCCGTATCCGTCACCGCTATATTGGGGGCTGTAAAGAAGTCGGGAACGGGGCCAATAGTGGTACCTTGGGCCCAGTCCCAATAAGGTATGCGGAATTCGTTTGCTGCCTTGAGATACCGTTCGATCTGATCGGCGGGTGCTTTTTTGGCGATATCATAGACATGGCTTGACAGTGATTGCTACGATCAGTCAGTATCATTGTCCTTGTCCTTTCAGGGAGAGGTGAAGGCGCGAAGGTATGAAGCTCACCTCGAATAGCGCAAGGTACGGGCGATGCCAACCCAGGAACAACTCATTGCCATGTGGGCAGTAGCCAGCCTTGCCAATCTTGTTTTTCTTTCCTGGTGCGTCACCCCAAACATCGTAAGGCCTTCCATGTATCGCTGAGGATAATGTTAGTAAGTGTTGAGCCATGCTGATAGCGGATGCACTCACATGCAATACCGTAGAACGAGGTGGGATTGTTCTGGGAAGTTGTATGAAGTTGTCGCAGCGCCAAGATGTAGAGACTCCATTGGTCTGGCGCGTTGTTCTTCAAGTCCCTCACCTCCCGGCGCACATAAACATTGCCTGTGCAAAGTTAGCGGCGATTGATACACGTGCGATCTAATTGGATACTCACCGTTTTCGTCTCGCGACTTCACTCCAGTCACTACGCCCACTACGGACTGCCGGACGGCATGAGAGCTCTTCCTCTCCGATACAGGCGTACACGTGACGTATGATATCAAAAGCCACGGTATTAAATATCGAGCGAGCCACGGCATGAGCATGGTGAGCGACTGTCGCGTCAAATGAAGGGTGTATCTGCGGAGAGCCGGTCAGAGGGGAGCAGAGAGATATGTATTTGTACATCAGAGCCTGCAGTCCCTGCGTGTAAAACAGACTAGCCACATCGAGGTCATATGCGGTGAGAGTGAGTGACGATCGCGTCTGTCATCCACAGTCGAAATACTAGGTTTAGGAGCCCAAAATGAAAGCAACTGGATGTTGCATAGGGACGCGATACGACAGCAAAGCGTATTGCGGACCAGAGTTGTCGGTCTCCCAGACCTGTGTTGTTGTTGTGATGACAAGAGATGTGGTAGCGAAGACGTGCCCTGAACCAAGGAATTTGCTGGGTGAAATGTGACGCACTCACCTTGTGACGCGATGAACACGAGAAATACAGCACGAGAAGTGTGAGTTGCCCGCTGTTATGGGAGGATATACCGCTAATGCAGCAACGCAGTATGAGAGCAGGCGTGGCAGGTGCGTTGTAAGTTTACCCTCCCGCTGGCGTTCTTCTAGAAGCGGAAAAGAGAGATGCGACGATGACAGTTGGTGACTTAAATTACAGGGCGAAAGCTAGCGATTGAGATAGAAGAGAGCGTGGGATGTTTGAGTCGAAAGTGCATCGACGAAAGAAGCATCGTCAAGGGGTTTGTTGACGTGCCAGAAATGTGCTTTTCTGATCACGACCTTGTCTCTCCCGCACCGGTAGTTATCAAGTCGTAGGAACACAGAATAACATCGCTCCAAGGTTTTCGCGAATAGCCGTTGTGTGAAACATCAGCCGGATACATTACCGCAAGCAATCTTACATAGTTTCGACCGCGGTTTCGGAACGCATGCTGGCTGTCAACGCCAAATATGGTTCGCACGACGCATAAGCTTTTCAGCCTAATCCGCAACTCAATATACAGATAAAAGATGGTAGTGCCATTTGTCGGCGTTCGGTGACACCCGCGGATCTCTGCATTCAATGTTGCACGGCGCGTGGAGCAATGCGCAACATGCTGTGTACCCCGCGCGGCTACGTGTCTGGCTTACGGAGATTGCCCAACATGAATCCACCGAAGGAGATGTCGCGAGTAAAGTCTCCACAATCCTAGCTTTTCCGTTAATCTTTCGTGCCGTTTGAGGCTCGACAAAGCACCGACGCGCCTAGCGGATGCTTACGGCGACCGACGGCGGGGAATAAGGTAAACTGATTCGCATACATGATAGTGGAACGTTGCAAGACTCCGGAAATAGTTGATTGCTGATTTAAATGGTTCCTAATTGAGACGCTAATACAGGTCATTCGTGCCGCTAGCCGTAGCTGACTGCGTTGTGTATCCTCATACAAGTATTCCGCATGGGGCCACATGCGCAAACCGCCTGGCGGTCATCTCGTTCATTACATCGTGTGTATCGTCAAAGTGCCAGTCGAAATGCTGGAAGTTTCCGTTCGAGTGGTTAGATGTCGTTATATCCGAGAAGCGTCTTTGGCAGATCTTTATCCGCGACCGCCCAGGCCCAGGCACGACCTGCCTCGCCACACCATAGGGAAGATGGATCTTCCGATTTCTCAAGCATTCCGTCTTTGGCCATCGACTTGATCTCATGGCCTGTGGTGTACGTCAAGAAGTGTTCAAATTGCTTTCCGTCCAGAGCGAGAGCGTTTCCAGTGATGCCGTGACAGAGACATGGCTCCTTGGTGAGCAGGCCTCTTTCCCAGATGCATTCTCTAGCTTTTGCGACAACCCGATCAATGCGATCTTGTAGTCCCGGGAAATATTTTCGGATTGAGAGAATGGAGTTGACAACACCCGGTGCTCCGTGACAGACTTCAACGAGCTTGTCACGACCTGGTGGGAGGGATGAAGGGAAGTTGCCGCTCTCGTATTGATAGCTGAGCAATGCGCCTAATTCAGCCTCCAGCTTAGACGCCCAGGAAGGGTCGGTGAGCACGATCTGTGTAATGATACCGATTGCGCCATGAACGGCACCCACGTATGCCTTTCCATGCCACTTCCAGGGACGCGGGCTTTGCATGATGTTCTCGATGACCTCATCGGCCGTGTCTTCGATGAGCTCGGTCGCGTCCTTGTTGTGAGCGAACGCCCCGCGGACCAAGCGGAGGAGGTACAGATAGCCAGCGCGACCGTATAGCCATTCGTTGGAGGTCTCATCCTCAAGCATGACTGCAGCATGATCGCAGAGCTCCTTTACAGTGTCTGGGTCTTGTGCAGTCACGGCGTACAGGGCAAGCAAAGACATGATATCGTTGGAGATACCGCATTTCTTCGGAGATGGCGGCGGAAACTCCTTGATATGAGCCTGAGCTTGTTCGATGTAAGCCGCAGACCACGTGTTCAAGGGGTAGTCATCCAGCTTAAGATCCGGGTAGATGTTGTGCAGGGCATAGAAGAGGTAGGCTACTGAAATCGGTCCGTAGTATAGACCACCGCCTGGGGGTACATGATGCGGAGGATAGTCGGTAATCAATCGATCCAATGACGCTAGCAGTTGCTTGTGAGGATCTCGTCGTGCCAACGGCGCATCATTCCGAAAATAGCGGGGTATCGAGGGAGGCGGTGCTGCTTGTGTTGCCGAATCTACAGGCGGCGCGCCGTCTTCGGACATGATGATAAGAGTATATTGAGTCGAGTTGATTCAAATCTCTCGTTGGAAAGCGAACGGGTAAAGTTGGCGCAGATTTAGGCATGCGCGAGTGACGGAAGGGTGTGAGATCGTAGCTGCCCGACTGTGACGTCAGCGGGGCAAGTCGTCGGTGATTGGTCAGCTGCGGCAGTCGCAGGCTAGAACGAAAATTGGCAAACATCACACCAGGAACTCCATGTGCTGCGCTGGTGCAATCTCGAAGTTTCTAAGCTACCGGAGCTATGGGGTATCTGAATCTCCTTCTCGTCTGATGCTGTGATCAGTATTACTACATTGACTCATAACATTCTTCCGTCTAATTTCGACGCCTGCGTCTCGTACAGTTACAATATTCATCACATCTCTCTGATTTGATATATCCCAGCGGCTTTTGTTGTAACATGATCATGATCGAAGAAGGGACTAGCCATGGGCAGCATGGCCTGGCCATGGTATGGGTTCAGCGGGAAGCTCAGAGAGACGTGCCATCGAGTCGTTGCGATGGAGTTCATGCTGACCTATCTCGCGGCTGTCTAGCTGAGGTGGATCTTCTGGTTCCGTGATCGAGTCTGCTCTGTAGAGTGCTGCTATTTTCTGCTGGAATTGGGTGGATGCTTTCCCTGGATGGAGTCAGCACTGTGTACCGAAGATCGAGGCGTAACGCGTGGGCTTACTTGATAACTGCGATGTCATATCGTCACCAACCAAAGGAGAAGGGTATGTGGCTGCTTTGTATACTTTCGCCCGCCGTCTCTTTTTTAGGTATAGCAGTATAGAGGCGATCAATGCGCACAAGATGACTGTGCCTAGCACTGCGCCGACCACGGGCGCTACGATCGACGACTGAGCGTGACCAGCTGATACTGGTGCGTTGATAGACGGTGTCGCTGTGGCTGATGAGCTCAGTGTAACAGTCTCCAACGAGGACTCTTCTAGGCTGAATGTAGACCCAGTATCAAGGGACGACCCAGAGGCCGTTGGAGAAGCTATTGAAGAAGTCGTCGCGGTGATCGATATCATCAAGACCGATGTAATTGGTGTAGGCGATAATGTATGTGAGGCTACTCA